AGTGACAAAACCTGCTAAATTTTTCGCTAAGGTGTAAATAATCATTTGCACAGTGAAGTTTATGCTGTTCTAGTAAAGCAAAGTGCCCCAGCCTATTTATACCAGGTTACCTGAGGGTTTTAAAACAGCATTACATATTCAGAAAATGTGTACATTGAATTTTCATAGTAGATTCTACTAAAACACACAGTACTCCTTTGACCATTGCAGAAACAGAACTCCTATAGGACAACAAGCTGGATTCTCCTCAACTGTTGAAAAATAAAACATTATTTAGTAAGTTCCAGTTACATCTATGTAAATTTATTGAAAATAAAAGCATTGCAAAGGAAGCAATCTAGATGAATAGGTTGGTGCTGCTTAAACTGAGGACTTCATTTTTGGTCAGTAGGGCCCTTCCATACATACATGAAAAGAGCTCCACTTTCCTTTAAGGTCCCATGTTCAACCATTTGACTTGGCATTTAAAAAAACTACTTCAACTTTGAGAACATTTGAATCTTGAAGTAATTTGGAGACAAAATACAGTACAGAAAATATGCTCTACAGGTGGGACTGTAGACTACTTTTAAAAGTATAGTTTGCAGTAAAGATGAATTGTATATCATTTATCAACAAAATAGTTTAACTGCAATTCAACATTAAACTGGGAGAAATGGAGAAAAGTACAGGAGCCCATGTAAAAGAGTGCAGGAGCCCACGTAAATCTATTTAAAGGACTTCCTCTTAGGTCTCTGGAAACTAACCACCAAAGCAGATTTCAAAACATGACGATAAAAATTATCTTAGCGAAATAAAAAGTTGAAAAATATACCCAGTTTATTCTCTTGGTTGTACACCCTGGACACTCTTGAAAACAATTTTTCTAATACATAAGAAGGAAAATACTTTTCCTTTTAGTAGGAGTCCAAAGGTAGCATGTTTTCTAATTTTTTATAAGTTCTTTTCACATGGCAACATTGGAACAAACATATGTCTACCATCTTTTTCAGCCCATGTAAGACTGAAATAATTGCCACACAACATTTGTGAATTTAATCATGGTTAAATTCTCCGTGTGCTATTTGATCTAAGGAAGAAATTTAAATTTATAATAAAATGGGAAATATATATCCTGCCTACTTATCACTGGGGCTTTTGACCAGAAGATGTCCTTAGTTACAATAATGAGAAAGTACCTTTTAGCAGAGAAAAAATTCACACCCTAGAGAAATAATAAAGGAGTCAAAGTACCAAAGAATCCATAATGTTTTATTAACATAGGTTTCAGAGAAATAACACAACAGGAAAATTGTAAAATAAATAACATTCTCCAAAATATTTACAAAGGAAATTGGTATCCAAAAGAAAAGAAGACAAAGCAGTAAGGCAGTATATGGAATAGCAGCACTGTAAAGACATTGTCAGAAATTGTTTTCTGACCCAAACATTGTCTGCCTTTATCTCAGTTCCAGAGAGGCAAAAAGAACGTGAATTTTCAGAAAGACACGCAAGCAGGGAAATGGAGAAAAGTACAGGAGCCCACGTGAAAGAGTAAAGAGATTAAATCCCCGAATCATCTCTCCGATTTGCTCTCAAACATGAAAATAAAGAAGCTGAATCAGTTGCTAACAGGGTAAAACTTGCTTTGATTCCTTCTTAGTTTCCAAGCATTTAGAAATTCATTGACTCTTCTTTGTTTTCATTTTGGCATGTGTTTATTAGCTATATTAAATTCTTAGCTTAGGGTTTCATATACAGTGTTATCTTTGTCAGAAAATGAAAGATGTATGAACAATTTAAACAATGAACACTGATGTAAAATTGGATCAGCTCGTTACAAACTGATTTCCTCTCATCAAACTACATGGGTGAAGGATGAAGAAACAAAATGCAAAAACATGGTCAAAGTGGTGACATACTAAATCGTCTTCCAATCATTCTCAATAACTCTACAACTACAGCATGCTATCCTGATGGCCCCATCTGAGTTGATGATTTTTCACAATGTATTTCATGGCTTCCATCCCTACATGAGACTTTATTACTATCACATAGGAATAAAAAGCCATAAAACACTAGAGTGAATTTATCTTGATCAGATGCAATACTTATTTTCTTCACATGATTTCACCACCATTCCAAAACTAACCAATGATTTCATGCTACATTACTGAACATTTTAAACTACATTTCAATGACAAGAAAGACACCAAAATGGTTACACTACAGATTAAAAGAACTTTAGCCTTTAAACACATTCCTACCTACGAGAATCAAGAAACGATCACGAGACACAACCATTTAATTCACTGATAAAAGACAGGACACCACAGAAAAATATCACTTCCACATACATCTTTCAAGACAAAAGAAAGACAAGAGACACAAAAGAAACTGGCATTGATAAATGCTATGAAAGCACCACTACCAGCATCTTTTTAAAACTGTTTTCCGTAGTGGCTTCCTGGCATGCATTATAAAAAAATCAGACTACATCACTAAAGACACCTTTAAGACGTCTTGAGCTTAATTGCAGAAACAAAGCAAGATTCCATGCTTATGGCACTGAAACAGCCACTACCGCAGAGCTGCTATCTCATATGACCCATTCACCCCTAGGACTTTTACCTTCCTGGCTATGATAAAATTACTGTAACTCCAAAGACCATATTTCTCCTGATGACCAAATGAGACAAATTATAATATACCCTTATTTTCTAAGCCAGAGTATAATACCAAGGTCCTGGTCTGAACACAGTTATTTATTAATGTAATTACTATTCATCTTCTTATTACTACTAATTGGCCAAGTAGAAACACAAGTCTCTAGGGTCATTGAAAAGTCAATACAATAATTTAACTGCCATTCAAAAATAATTTTGCTTGTACACTTGCAAGCAAACTAGGCTGCATCAGAAATGTCTCATTAAGCTAAGAGTCTATGCTTTACCAAAAATATTTAACATTTTCCCAGCCATGTAACCCCACTGGCATGGGACCAATATTAATTCTGATCTAGTGTTGACACTAGAACTAAAAATTACCTCAGACTTGATTTATATACTGCTATCCTTTCTTGCCTACCAAATCCTACATCTTGCATAATATAATGTTGATAGCATAGAAAAGAGTGAGAAATCATTAAATGAAAGGAAGTGCATAAATAAATTCAATTATCATGCATAAAACATGCAAATGACTTAAAGACTGCATATGAAACTCTGGTTTATATTAATTAATCTCAGGTTGCACTTTTGAGGGAGAAAGAGACACTAATAGAATCCAGATTAATGCACTCCCAAACCTTCCAATTTGTTTTTAGGTGAGGATTAAAATAGACGTATTAAAATAAACACAGCTGCTCACCTCTCCCAGCCCTGTTTCTTTTGTGGAAGAAGGTAAAAACTAAAAAGTATATTGCAGGCTTGAGAATCTGGGCTTTTCCTGGGCTCCTCAGGACTGACGTTTACCCACTGTCACTCCTTTTTTTAAAATGTTTTTTCCTTTTTTTTCCCCGTTTTTACGGAGATAACTTTGTTATTTTGAAACTATTCCAAAAAACAGCCTAGTGACTTGACATGGAGAACAGGACAGGAAGTGTTTGGGCTTGCCTAAATCCTGCCCTCTTCTTCTTCCTTTCCTACCTTGAATGATGCTGCAGATGGACCATTTTAAACTGTGTGCAGTCACACTTCTAAAAGGGGCTCAGTCCAAGACTGGTACATTGTTGCCATGCAGCTTCATCAGGTGGGAAACAGGATTCACCCAGCCAGCAGAAACATGATACATAACAGGGGCAAATGTCTTTGACCTGCCACCTGCTCTGGGTTTCACTGCTGAGGGATTCTCCAACAACCTCTGCCAAATTATCCAGATATAAAAGTAGCAGCCCCCCAGCCTCTCCTTCCCTCTCCCATTAGAGCGGGGTGCAGCTCCCTGCCACTGCCCTTGCCTAGGGGGTATCCAGGAAAAATCCACTGACGACAAGATCAGTACCCACAACAGTGAATGAAGGGAAAGTGGCATTCCTAGGGGTGATCCTACCCCAGGAGAAAGGTAAGCCCTTGGAAGAAAAATGCCCAGAAACAAAAAAAGAAGGGAAGGTCTCATTCCCAGCCACGGGGGGAGGAAGGTTAAAAAAAGCAAACAAAAAAGGTCACCAAACTAATTTCATACTGAAACCAATGAATTTGGATGAGAGGTCCAAAGGGGAAAGGTTAGGATGTTATCAGTGACATAATTTCTCTTTCCTTTTGTTATAATGATTGGATATTAAACCCTTCCAACACAATGGGACACACTTTCTGGAGGGTGGGGGCAGCATTCAAAATCTTACATTTCTCTGGTTATTTTTTACATGTTATCCTCCTGAACTACAGACATTACACCATGAAAGCACAAAAACACATACATGTAGACTCAAACATATATTCACACATATGGTTTCAGACACAGACCGACTTCTACTGATAGCCTGCCTCAGAGATCTTTCTATTAGAATTGATTTCTGCAGTTTTGCAGATGCTAAATCCATTGCAATAAATAACAACAATAAAACTGAAATCTGTAAACATCTTGACAAATATTCAGAGAGCTATTTAGTTAGGAAATACACTTATGATAGTCATTGCTCCTAAAAGAGAAAATGATCATACAGCAACTAAACCCTAAGTAAGAGCTAAAGATATTCACCTCATGAAGTCATTTCTCAACTAGCCCCTTGGCACTTGCTGGAATTATTCACAGCACGAGCTCTACTTTTTCATTTTCTGCTGACTCCATGTGAGTAATTTCTCTCTTGTGATTAAAAGTGAGCTGCTCAATTCCTTCAAAGCATTTCCTTAGGTGTGGTTGGATGTGGAGTGATCCTTTGTCTCGAAAAGGATTCCTGAGAGATCATTGCTGCATCGAGAGATAAAAAAAAAACCTGAAAAATGATAAAAAATGAACTTTAGAGGTGTTTATATAAACATATTTTACACCAACACCATACAGACAGAATGGACTGTTTACCTTGGAAAGAACAGTCTTTTTTTCACCAGATAACCATTCAAGGCCTTTCTGAATGTCATCCAAAAGCGATTCTGCTTCCTTCAACTTATCCAGCATCTGGGGCTGTGAGATAACCCTCGTGGCATCGGTCTCCTTCACTGACTCCTTCGTTATTAGCCTCCTGGTGGGTGAGATAGAATACAGTGAATGTAATAACCATACTTCACACAACAGGCTCGCTCTCTCTTTTAAATTGAAAATCCCCTTATTACAAAACAAGGGGTGTTCTTTTTCTTCTACCTTTAAGTAGGACTGCCACATTCATTGCTTTTTACAAAAACGCAGCTGCTTTTTAAGCTACAGATAAATAGAATCTGCTAGGCGGTAATTCTGCTCAGTCTGAATGCATTATTTTCTAAGTCACTTTGGTGAGGGACTTTTTATTATGAACTAGAATGAACAGGGAAAGTTCTTTTCTCAACTAATTATGACTATGCCTTGGTCTATACTATTAACTTACCAAGGCAGATTGGTCATCTTTGTTTTTTTTTTCCCCTTCAATCAGGTCAACAAATTAGAATGATTTCTGGGAAATCAGAGAGCTAATTATTAAGACTTTATAGACTAATTATGAAAATATAAATAATACAGAACAACGGTGTATCGATAACATTCACATAATCCCTCTGACATGTACAATCCAATCTAACATTTTAACCCCACTGATGCATGGGTGGGAGTTACTTTGATTCAGTCTACCGAATTTTCTTCTCATAAAGATTTGTTAAATTAGAAATTTTCAAGTAACTGAGGAAAAAGTGCAAAACTGAAACACTATTTTTCATATACCTATATCTGGCACCTATTCTGTTTTCCTATTATTGGACTCTCAGTTTATGAAAATTAGGAATGACGGAATAGACAACAAAGTTATAAAGACACTAAAGAAAAAAATCTGAACTTCTGTTGTTTCCCACCATAAGACATAACGTAGTATGTTTGATTTGAAAAATACTTGTGTTCTCCTTTTTTTTTTTTTCCTTCAATTAGCTACTTTAAAGAATGGATTAATTTGTAAAGAAGAATTTGATATTTCTCAGTAATACCAAAAACTAGAATATACTTGTGAGGTGTCAGAGCCTTCAGTGCTCCATAATGCTTGGCTTTGATGCTGTAAAACATACTCGACTGCTTTCCAAGTGGACAACAACACATTTAGTTCAGCTGTTATCCACAGCTCGTAACTACTGGTACACAAACGCCCCAATAAATGGATTGCAAGCATTTACATATCACTACATAGTTCCTTTTACGTAACATGTACTGTGATGAATGGAATTCAAATAAATAAACAGATAGATAAATAAATAAATAAATAAGAAAAATCTTTTCTCCTTAAAATTCATTTTCAATACTTATGAGTTGAAGACCATCAATATGGTAGAAAGACCTGCCAGCAGAACTGCTTCTGCCCATCTTACAAATCAGAAAGAATCCTGAAGATAAGAACTTGTACAGTGAAAAAAACCCCTTCACATTGCCATCATCCTAATATCCTACTTGCACTCAAAATAATCCCATTCCTATGTATTTCTGCCTGAAATATTATAGGGGATATTTATTACATTTTTCAAGCACCTACTGTAAGATACATACATACAGACAACAACAGTGTTATTGCTTTGAGTTGCTAAAACTTGCTACTTCCATGAGGTGTTTCTCAGTCCTCCAGTACACTTGGCAAACTCTGAACACTTTGGGGTTGCTTGCCTCCATATCTACAGACCAACCTTAATCCTGGAGAATCAGGAGAAGCCTAATCCATGTAGACTGAAGAACAGTTGGTTCTACTAAGAAATAACTCTACATGTATCACTGGAGCATTCAAGATGGAAGAGTAAATGAACACATCCACATGAACATTAATTTAACTTTATTTTAGTGTCATGCTCAGTGTTTGTGTACACTCAAATACAGCCTTTCATATTATCTCTGAAACAAACATATTACATACTGCCAGTTTAGGTATGTTATCTTTTGCACTAAAATAATAAAGGAATTTAGAAATGCTTGTTACTGCTTGATTAAAAATTTATCTGAATCTGTCCGTTTAGCAATATTTCTTTTCATAACATGATAGTAAGGACACTAAAGAAATAACTGTTAATGCAAGAAGGCTTATCAATGTGGGGTACTGTTTTTCCTAAATTAATTTCAAAGATATCCTTAATAATTTTGTTGAGAATGCCATTCTTCCAGGCACATGACAGGCCTTCAGATTACTGAGTATCCCACTATTAACATCACTAGTATCAATGGCGCACAATACCTTTTAATTAAAAATTAACTTTTTTCATTTTAGCTGAATTAAAGACAACGAAACAGTCAAATTCCACCCTGTGCTCATGCTCTGCTGAACACTCACTGACAGCTTTTCACAGAAGCCAAGATTATGGTGCAAAATTATTGAGTGACTTGACAAACATAGCCCTACTAGAGGCTGATTTACATACAGGACAAGATCTATAATCTCCCAGTTTTGTACTTTATCTATCTGACCAGGTTCCCCTACACTTCAGAAGGGAGAATCAAAACAAAAATTAATTCAGAAAAAAAGAAGTCAGCTTCACATCTTTACCTAACCATTTTGCAGCTACTCCTTTCACTTATAATGATATGTAAATTGGTTGAATATGTCTTCCAGTGTATTTCTCCTATGATTAAAAGTGTTTTACACACGCTTTTAGATATGCATGCACTTTGAATATTCCACAGGTCATTTAATAGCACATCAGATATAACTAAACACAGACTTAATATTTCAGGGAAGTGTCAATAGCAAAGCCCAGTTTTTATGACTTTCAAAATAATCTCAGAAATATTTTGCTAAAAATGTTCTTTACCTGTTTCCAGGTACTTATGTAGTACAGTGAGAAACAAGACATACAGAAATGCCTGTTTATCACTTGAATGATTCACTAACTTACTGGGAGGCCACGTCTCTATTATTTCTGAGCTCACATCATAAAAACTAAGTAGAAATCAATTTAAGACAATGAATTTTAAATTTTACTTTCCCCCTCGGTATTCTGAAGTGGCACAGTCAAGTTGGAAAAGTTTCAGATAATGAAAGCACTGAAGCCTAAATCACACACAATAGTGAAAGCTGAGATGCAAGATGGAGATGAAATCTAAAAGCTAATTAAATTCAACAAGAGCCTCTCAAAGGCAACATACCAGCTTAGCCTCCCATGCTAACATTTCGTTTTGAAGGGTGCAGTAAATGGAGGGCCTTTCATGGCTGCAGATTTCACAATATGATCCACCAGCTAAACCTGAGAGAGGAGAGAAAAAAAAAAAGATTAGATGCATGGATTATTGTACTGAATAGATGCCAAGGCCAAGATAAAAAGAAAAGATAAGTTAGGGCTTCTGAGGAGCTGAATTTGAAGCCAACCAGCAAAACGGATTGAACTTTATTACCTCTAGTCACTGAGAAATTCCCTAGACAGTTGGATGTAATTTGAAAAGGTCAGAAAAAAATTTCCTTCACAGTATTATTGCTTCATGGTTTAAGGGTGTGCCTTTGTGAGATGCCAGCTCTAATCATTTTTATTGACTTGCTCTAGAGGGACAGACAGATGCGCAGGGAGTCAAGACAGATGGATAAGACATATCCTACCTTTGTTTCCAGTTCTAAAACATATCACACTATTAGGTATGTTTTAATGTTAATCATTTCAGTTTATCCTTTGCCATCTCTGAGGAGAATGTGCCTTGTTTCTCTAAGACAGCCACAAAAGGGGGGAGGGAGAGGAAGCCTGTGCATAATACTGGAAACTTGCTACAATTTTTCATATTTGGTCAGAGCATTCATTGAATTCCACATGAATCTGAAATATATAACTGAAATTCAGTAAGTGTAATAGGATTTTCTAGACATTTTTAGATATGCTCTGTTGATTTTTTTTTCACCCAAAGGGGAGCAGATCTCACTGAACAGGTTATAGGAATGACCTTCAGCATACTGACAGTACAAGCTTTATTACCAGTATGGCTGTCTTGGCAGAAAAAAAAATCCAACATACAAAAGGAAAAACTCATAAAACACAAAAAACCCAAACCCACCCCAATTAAAATCATTTAATTCTTTGACTTAGCATTCATAGATGCTTGCAATCAAATATGAATATTTGCTAACATTACACTTACAGTCAATTTTTTTGTCATGTAATTAAAATCAAAAGACATTTAACAACACAAAAGCAGAATTATCTACCCCAGACTCTGGAAAAGTTTAATTAACATTAGATTTTTCTTCTGCTCAGAAGACATTTGTCTTCTGTTCATAATACAAGTATATTTATTCCCTGAATCCTGACTCTGAATGCACTGCAGAGGCAATTTTAATGGCCATTAAAGTACAGCTCTGTGAGTTTCTCTACTGTATTATGTTTATGGAGCCTGTCTGCAAGCTGACTAAACCTTTTCCACTTGGATAAGAAAGCCATTTCCATCTGGTCATATTCCCTCCCCTCAAGCCCCGTACATCAGAGGGTAACATGAAATTGCAGCAAAAGAGTTGCATATATATTCATTCCTCCAGAACTTTACACCTCTGAAAGGAAATCAGAAAGGCTTAGCTGCAGTGAGGAACAAAAAGCATTGGGAATTGTTCCACTAATGGAAGCTGATACTTTCCATTGAAATGGACTGCTCCAGACAGAAAAGATACATGGACAATTTAAACGTAACAATTCAACAATTTAAGAAGCTTTTGAAAGAAAACATGTGCACCTGTATATATAGAAAGGAGGCTGGGGAGAGGTAATCACCTACTAGATTTACAACAATTGATTTGGACTCTACAACACCTATATTTTTTTTAATCAGACTCCCACTGTTAGCTTCAGGATTATGCTGAAACTGAAGTAGGAATTTAGTTTTGTAAGAACACAGATGTGTAACTACAGAGGAGCCCTCCAGTTTCTGTGGCAACATGTCAACATTATGATTTTTATTTCTGATTTTTTCCAACAGGAGGAGTGACAGAGAAATTAAGTTCTGTCATCCTCCTGATCTAAGCTCAGAGATGAACACCCTTCTTATTCATCATGAAAAAAAGGGAATTTTCAAGATACAATCATTTAATGTCAGAGACTCAATTTTCCAAAAGTATTCTTCCATCAACGTATTTCGACGCCATTTGCAACACAGTAACGTGATGCCACATCACTCCATCTTTGCAAGACCCTCACTCCCCTTGTTTCTGTTTTTTCCCCCCGTCTCCTCAAGAGCAGCACATGTTAATAGACAAGTAACTTAAACCCTGATTCATCATCCCAGATGTAGAAAGTATAGATCTTTAAGATATTCCATATGACATCGTTCTCACTCTATTTGAACCAACAAATATGTGGGAAAAGCTGATCCTGTCTAGCCCCCACACAGAGGTGACAACACTCTCCCTTTCTATAATACTCTTTATGATACTGTTTGCTTCCCTTTTGATTATTTGCCATGCTGACAGTAAAACTGCACAAAATTCAAATGACTGCTAACTTGCACTGTAACAATAATGTTAGTTAACCAATGAAACAGATTTCTCAGAAAGGCAAGAAGTTTTCAGCTTCTTCTAATTAGGATTTAATTTTAAACAATATTCTCACAGTTCAACCACAAGCTGTTTGGTTAGGTGCAGAAATCCAATGCTGTCCTTTCCAGCCTTTAAAACTATAGGGTTGTGACCCAAGTGGAATGCCAACTGGTGTAACAGGATTTCACTCTAGAAACCAGTAGGATTTCTTTAGTTTTGTCTTTATGTGTGTGACCAGGAGACTGCAACTTTTATAGATAAGAAATTTGAAAATAAAGACCCCAAAATTCTACGTTGTAACAATGACAGAAATCGTTACAACACAGAATTTCGGGGTCTTTATTTGTTTTGTGAACACTAGATTACTGAAACCCATTCAGCATGTGATTATAGCCAACTAAAATAACATGAATTCACACATAGTAATTCATTTTTCTATTGGAAGCACATACCCCGGAGAGCTACAAGACAGGTATTCCATGTACATCTTTCATTAGCTGGCTTGAATGTATCATCCCCTTCATTTCTGATAAAAGCACCTCCTCCCCACACATCCGATAGCAAAGTGAAATGCCATTTGTCTGTCCTGATCAACAGCCAAAATCCCCTTAGGACTTGAAGGGGGGCTGGATTCTCATACTTGTTTTACCATGTCTAGATGTTGCCCATCTACTCTTCAATTTTGTTCTGATCAACAGACATGCCTAGCTGTATCACCCTTCCTAAGAGGAAAAAATCCCAATCAACAACAACTACAATAAAACAAAACCAAACACAAACAACGAACAACAACAAAAAACAGCAAAAAGCTGGTTACAGAGCGTGTCCCAGACACAATCCCGGTTTTAAATGAGTTCCAGTGTCCCTTCAACCTGCAGCAGGCCACGTTGTTCTCATACAAAGCTCACACAAAAGAATTAGATAACTGTTTTACAGATAAGGAGGAAAGACTTGAGAGATGGATAGGAGTATCATTACTAAGATTAACTCCAATAGGCAAAGTTAGGTGGCAGCTACCAGTTTTACTACTTCCAAGTACTCCAACTCTTCTCCTTTATGAATGGACTAGCTACTGGAAAAGGTTGGTAAGCTTGTTTGTTTGTTTGGGTTCTTTTGCTTTTTTTTGTTCTTCATTCTTTGGAATACGTCCAAATATGGATGGTCTTAAAGGTCATTTCCAAACTAAGTGATTTGAGGATTCTCTTTCAGTTAAACATGTAGTAACCATTTTCTTCATGTTAAGAGCACTCTGTGATGTGTGTAATTGGAATTTTTTGTTATATAGAAGAATTACAGCACTTTCAAAAAAGCTGCAATACACCTATTAGGTGTAATGTTTATGTCTTGAATACCAACTCATTCTTAAAACAAATTAGACCTTCTTAAAGATAAAAGGAAAATAAAAAGGACTTGTGGGTCTACTATGCATAATAACCCATCTTGCCAAATTCTTTCATCTGAACACTGATTCAGCCCCCAGCTCTAATATCGTTAAATTTTAACTTCCAACAAATTAGGTTCAGGAACAATGAAATGCAATTAAAATACTGTATGCACTGCAGCAGAAAGAGATAACACTCTATGTATGTTTAGTGGGAAGGAAAAAAAAGAGAAAATC